AATAATCTCACTCCTAGGAATCTATCCTAGAGAAATAAGACCCATCACATGAATAGACATATGCACACCCATGTTCATTGCAGCATTATTCACAATAGCAAAAAGATGGAAACAACCTAAGTTCCCATCAACAGATGAATGGATAAAAAAAACTATGGTACATACACACAATGCAATACTATGCAACAATGAAAAATAATGATGAATTCTTGAAACATAATCACAACATGAATGAATCTGGAGGGTATCACGCTGAGTGAAATAAGTCAATCACAAAAGGACAAATACTGTATGAGACCACTATTATAAAAACTCAAGAAAAGGGTTACATACAGGAAAAAAAAGAACAATCTTTGATGGTTACGTGGGGGGAGGGAGGGTGGAAATCACTAACTAGATAGTAGACAAGAGTTAACTTTGGTGAAGGCAAAGACAACACACAATATACAGGAAGTCAGCACAACCTGACCAAGGCAAAGTCACAGAAGTTCCCTAGACACATCCAAATACCTTGAGGGGCCCAGTTACTGGGACTGAAGGCTGGGGACCATAGTCTCAGGGGACACCTAGGTCAACTGGCATAATATAGTTCACACAGAAAATGTTCTACATCCTACTTTGGTGAATAGCGTCTGGGGTCTTAACAGCTTGCAAGCAGCCATCTACGATATACCTACTGGACCCATCCCATCCAGAGCAACGGAGAATGAAAAAAAAACCAAAGACACAAGGAAAATATCAGCCCAAAGGACTAATGTACCACATGAACCACAGCCTCCACCAGCCTGAGCCCAGAAGGACTAGATGATGCCCAGCTACCACCACCGACCTTTCTGACAGGGATCACAATAAAGGGTTCCAGACAAAGCAGGAGAAAATGTAGAACAAAATTCAAATTCACAAAAAAAGACCAGGCTAACTGGTCTGACAGAGACTGGAGGAACCCCTGAGACTATGGCCCTCGGACACCCGGCTAACTCAGTACTGAAGGCATTCCTGAAGCCCACCTTGCAGTCAGATTAGACACGCCTATAAAACAAACAATAACACAAGTGAGGAACATGCTTCTTAGTTCAATCAAGTACAAGACAAAATGGGCAATACCTGCCCAAAAGCAAAGATGAGAAGGCAGGAAAGGACAGGAAATCTGGATGAATGGACAAGAGGAACTCAGGATGGAAAGGGGGAGAGTGCCAACACATTTCAGGGATTGTAACCAATGTCACGAAACAATTTGTGTACAGATTTTTGAATCAGAAACTAATTTGTACTGTAAACTTTCACCTAAAGCACACACACACATACACACACAAAAGATTACAGCCTTGGAAACCCTATGGGACAGTTCTACTCTGTCCTATAGGGTTGTTATGAGTCGGCAACAAGTTACGACGGCAACAAGTTAATGCTCTATCCGGAAAGCCCACGTCAGACTTCAATCGGGCGCTTCCTGCATGGGGTTCCGTGACAAGGGAATGACGTGAAGCAGGTAGAGAGGAAGGGGCAAGGACTCATCGGCGGGGGGG